AACAAGGAAGCATTCCTATGCGTGCAGGCGCAGCTTTGTTGTTATGCTTGTAAGCGCGTGTAACGCTCAAACGGTTCCATATTATGTACATATGCAAGTGTGTAGAGCGTCATTTTCAAAGGAGTTACGGAAATGAAGTCAATAGGGAGGTATTAAATGGTGTTACATAGTAGATTCCTCCAAACACATACACACACACAAAAACATATTTGTCCTTTTTACCTACCTAAGTATATATGTATGTATGTATTTATGGACAAAATTGTTCGAATTTCATCTAAAGCAAAGCATGAAAAGGAATGCAAAAAAAATATTGAAGTGATGAAGCCGAAACGGACGTAGTGGCTGTCTCTGATGGCATCCATCTGGCCGGTAAGAGAAATCAAGCTGCTTTAATTAGCCGCATCCGATTTCGTTCGTAATTTTCCCCGAATGAATTGTCCAGCGAAATTATATCAATATTTTTTGCAGCTGTACACTTTTTGTTTACATACAAAAGGCTGGATATTTTTTTTTCTTTTTTTCGTTGTTTTAACTTCCAATTGTAAACCAGTGTTTGTGCGCAATTAAAGTAAGTAAAAACACAAAAATAAATTTAATTTAACGGGGAGGATTTTTTCCGATCGACTTAATTATTTTAATGTCAATCTCTGCAGGTTTCACCAGCAATTAAAATGAAAAATGATTTTTCCCTTAGGTGAGTTTTCATAATAAATTCAAATAAAAATAATAATTTTTCTCTAAAATTGCTTTCAAAAAATAAAAATAAATTCAATTAATTATTTTCTACTTACACTTACGCCCTTTCTGCTCATCTACATACTACATATCTACTGCTCAATAGAGCTGGAGGAACATCGATGGAAACATCGATGCATCGATGCTTTTATATGAGCTGCTAACATCGATGTTAATTAAAGGATTGCTCACTAGTGACATTCGAGTTTTGACACTCCCTTACAAAAGGCTGCACACACACACACACGCTGCCTTGCTAAAGACGCCGATTTTGTCAAGAGGGAGCGAGAAAACTCTTTTCTGAGCAAACCTTTTATTACACTGTACAGCACCCGGCTGGTTATTGGACCAAACCAACTTTTTTTAAGAGATTGAGTCATAAGTAAAAAAAAAGTAATTTCTCCGTTTTTCGAAGTTAGCCTCCGAAATCGAGATATGAGCCTTTGAAGTTCGAGATTAGAACTTTGGTAAAAAGTTATTTTTAATTATTGCATGTAAAAAGCAAAAAAGTAAAAATACAGACGTGGTCCGCCTTTTGCTCTTATTATATGGTATATAAATTTTTTTGTAAAAACTTATTTTACAGATCTTGGAAAAATTAAAAACTTAATATGTATTGCAGAAAATTTTGACTGATTTTTACAAAATTCATATCGTTGTAAAGGTGATTTAACCCCCTTTCTTGCGATGTGCATATTTGTATACTTCGTATATAAATATTTGAGAAAAAACACATTTAAATGAAAAAATAGCTTTTTGTATAAAAAAAAATACTTTAAACAAAAAATTTACAAACACGATTAAATTCCCTTTCTTTTGATATGCATATTTGTATACTTCGCTTATACAAATTTGATAAAAAACACATTTAAACAAAAAAATACCTTTTTTTATACAAAAAAATTTAAACAAAAAAATTGCCAACCGATTTTTAAAAGATTAGTATCGTTGTAAAGGCGATTAAACCCCCTTGCGTCTAAAATGCATATTTGTATACTTCGTATATAAAAATTTGAGAAAAAACTTAAAGGAACAAATATAAATTTTTTCTTATAAAAAAAAATTTCAAGAAAAATTATTAATTAGTAATACAATTGAATACGGTATTTAAATAAAACAGATAATTATTAGTGTTTTAAGCATTAATTCGTTCTCGTTCACCCATAGTCCTGTTAAAAATAAAGCCAAAGTGTATGTAACAGAAGTCTAATGGCCTTATTCATAAAAAATAAAGTAGCTTTAAAAAAGGTTTATAAACTGAAAAATTTATAAAAACGTCAATTTATAAAGCTCTTTAAACCTACTTTATTTTTTATGAATAAGGCCATAAGGCATATAAAAATATAAAAAACACCATGGTTTTTGATCTTTCACATAACAGGTTATATATAACAAGTAAGAAAGTCTAAGTTCGAGCGGAGCCGAACATTAAATACCCGGCGCAAGTATTAAATATATGTTTTTTCACCTTTCCGAAACCTTCCGCTAGATGGTAAGCCGGGGTGTATCAATTTTGAGTAAATTAGCGTCCTTCAATTTCGAAATATTGAAGTTTCAAGCATTTCTGAAATTTACCGTTATATGAGAAGCGGCCGTTATTTTAGTCCGATTTCAATAATTTTCAACGTTTTGCTTATATGTGGCAAGCACAATAACCACACCGAGTTTGGTACAAATTGGTAGAACGGTTACCGATATACTTATATGTGATCATAAGTGGGCGGTGCCACGCCCATTTTCCAAAATTTTACCATAAACGTATTTCTTGGTAAAGAATTGTTGCAAGCATCAATTTTGAATAAAATAATTATTGTATTTACTGATTTATCGAAGATTTTGTATTTCTCTAAATTACCGTTATATGGGATGTGGGCGTGGTTATTGTCCGATTTTAAAAATTTTCGGCCATTTGGTATGCTGTGCCAAGACCAACAACTGTGCCAAGTTTGGAAGAAATTGGTGCAGCGGTTACCAAGATATACACATGTAACCATAAGTGGGCGTGGCTACGCCCATTTTCCAAAAATTTATAATATTCTTATTTTTCGTCTAAAAATTATTGTAAATATCAATTTTGAGTGAATAATCTTCAGTAGTTACTAAAATATCGCAGTTTTCGTATTTCTGAAAATTACCGTTATATGGGAGGTAGGCGTGGTTATTGTCCGATTTTGCCCATTTTCAATACCATCCGTCCTACGCCCGAAAGAAGTACACGTACCAAGTTTCGTTAAGATATCTCAATTTTTACTCGAGTTATCGTGTGCACAGACGGACGGACGGACGGACGGACAGACAGTCACCGCTTAATCGATTTCTCTTTTCATTCTGATCATTTATGTATACATTTGTCTATATCTATCTCGATTCGTTTTGGCTGTTACAAACAACCGTTATGTGAACAAAATTAATATACCCTTGTGCACAAGTGCGCTCGGGTATAAAAATTAAAGGTAATTTTCTGTTTTATTTAAACAAAGTATTCAAATGTATTACTAATTAGTAATTCTTTTGTTAAAAATATTTTTTATAAGAAAAAAATTATTTTTTCTTTAAATGTGGTTTTTTTTATTTTTTAACCGAAGTACACAAATATGCATATAAGAAGAAAGGGGGTTTAATCGCCTTTACAACGATTCTAACCTTTTAAAAATCGGTTAGTAATTTTTTTGTTTACAATTTTTTTTATAAAAAAAGGTATTTTTTCCTTTAAATGTGTTTTTTCTAAAATTTTCATATACGAAGTATACAGTAAGTTTACAAAGATATAAACTTTTTTTTAATCAGTTCAAAACTGTTTGCAATATAAGGAATTTAATTTTTCGAAGACCTGAACTTTGACCACTAATTATAATTTTTAAGAAAAATTACTATGCGCGTCTTTATTACGGAAGGCAAGTCAAAAATTTTTATAAGTTTTGTCTGTATGTATGTTTGTACGCGCATCACTCGAAAACTAATGCATGAAATTGAATGCAGTTCTCACCAATGCATTGCTAGAGGTCTAACTTAAAATATAGAAAGAAAAAAATAGAGAGTTGCCACCTGTTTGAAAATCGCAGTTTAGTAAATTGATAAGGTAAAATAAAAATTGCAACGTGGCCGTCAAAAGAAAGAGGTTTAAGAAGGCTTACAGCCGAAAATATTTTTGTGGAGGTTGCCGCATGTTTGAAAATTTTAATTCATTTTAATTGATGAGATAAATTAAATATTTCAATATTAGTACCAAACTGAAGAACTTTAGGAAATATATTTTTGAGGAAGATTGACACCTGTTTGAAAATTTTAATTAAACTTAATTGATAAAATAAATGAAATATTACAATACGGGTATCAAATAACACAAAAATACTTTTAAGGCGCAGTGAATCACGCCGGGTATTTGCTAGTCCTACCAAAAACAAATTTTTTTTACCTTAGTTTGTTATTGAAGCATATTTTGCAGCGTACATACTGCATACGAGTATATGTATAACCGTACACTTCAGCTATGTACTTTTTAAGCGCGTCCATCAGAGCCGCGCAAAATCACTTACGACCACATTAAATCTGCATATAAGATGTAATAAAGTCAATAAAGCGATTTTATTTAAACANACACAAAAATACTTTTAAGGCGCAGTGAATCACGCCGGGTATTTGCTAGTCCTACCAAAAACAAATTTTTTTTACCTTAGTTTGTTATTGAAGCATATTTTGCAGCGTACATACTGCATACGAGTATATGTATAACCGTACACTTCAGCTATGTACTTTTTAAGCGCGTCCATCAGAGCCGCGCAAAATCACTTACGACCACATTAAATCTGCATATAAGATGTAATAAAGTCAATAAAGCGATTTTATTTCCACGGCATGTGCTCCGTGGCATCGGCACGTATGAGGTGCTGAACGCGCGCTGTGTTATGTGGCTGGAAGTGGTACTGCGTTCACCATAAAAACAAACTCATAAAATTTTGTCGACAACTGCGAATATTGGTATCCAGTATGCCGCCTTTGTGTGCGTGCGTCTACGCTGGCACGAAATATATAGCGCGTGACACCTCTGCGTGCATTCAGGCAGATAGCGTGATACTTCGTGTTATAAATAAAAAAAGAAGCTTTCCTGCACTTGCTTTACGGAAAAATTTCATCAGTAATGTATTAAATTTATTAATTTATAAAAATACGTAATCGGCCAAGCATAAAAACCAGACTACTGCCAATTTCCTTGCAGTTAAATTTGTATTTGGCAGCGCGCCAGCTCTATACGCGCTCTAAGTCGGCCTTTTGGCCTCCGCATACAACTTTCGACCACTTTCACGTTCATCGCCATGAGCTTCTGGGAGCGTCACAAGCACAACATCTACAAGTACGGCCACATCTATGCCACACTCTACGGCCTCACGGTTATCAATTACATACCGCAGCGTCCGACAAACACGTGCACCCACCGACTAGCCGTAATTTACGGGCACACGATCAGCGTCTTGCTCATCGTCGTGCTGCCCATCTACTTTGCGCGCAACATCTCTGCACTAACCGAAGCGCACGACCAACGCGGCCAACTGTTGCTGCTCGTCAACTTCGCCAATACGCTGCTTAAGTATGTAACCGTTGTCGTGACATATGTCGCAAATTTTGCACACTACGCGGCCATACGCGCCGTCACCCGGAGGCGCCAGCAGCTCGAAGACGACTTCAACAGCAGCCTGCAGGTGCAACCGGTATACGATGAGCGGCCGCGCCGCCAATTCGAGACTATGCTGCTGTTCAAGTTCGGCATAATCAACGCCATGATGGCCGTGCAAGTGGCAAACATACTCTACCAGCATTGCACCGGCGCCCATCCGGTGCGCGTGTATATCGCCGTGTATACCTTTGTGCTGTGGAACTACACCGAGAACATGGCTGACTATTTCTACTTCATCAACAGCAGTGCATTGAAATTCTACCAGCAACTCAATCAACAGCTGCGGCAAGTGGTGCGCGAAGCGAAGCTCCTGCATTACTTTCGGATGCGCGGTCAGCGACGCGGCACTGTGCCGCATCTGTGCGGGTTGCTGTGCGAGCGGCTAGATACGCTGGCCCAGCGCTACCAGCAAATAAATCGACTCTACCAAGACAGCTTGACAATGCATCAGTTTCAGATACTCGGCCTCATCTTTATTACGCTCGTCAGTAATCTCACCAACTCGTTCATCCTATTCAATCTGTTCGTGAAGCACTCACAGGCGCGCGCTTCGCCAGCCATCGTGCTGAATGCGCTGCATGCCATCATCTTCTACGTGGACACCTACATTGTGGCGCTGGTAAGTGAGAACATCAGCCTGGAATTGCGCGACATTAATCAGACGCTGCGTCAATTCAATCAGGTGAGCGAGCTGGATGTGCGTCTACAGCAGACGGTGAGTGTGTGTGGGTGTATGATACGCAGTTGATGTGCATTTATTTATTTGTTTATTTATTTTGGAAAGCAGATCGAGTGCTTCACACTTTTTGTGACGAACAATCATGTGGAGGTTCGCATCTGTGGCCTATTTGTGCTGGACAGGAGCCTGACGTATCTGACGGCAGCCACAGCATTATCATATTTCATTACACTGGTGCAATTCGATTTGAACTTGATGTAGGCGACGCATAAAATCGATATAAAATTTAAACTCTTCAAGAACTCAAATAAATAAAGTAGCCGTATACTTAAACGGTTTTTTAGTAAACTTTTCCATGCGGGAGTGTGGTATTGGATCCCAAAACTATGTATTATTATTAGTCAACCGACTTCAAAAAAAGGAGAAGGTTATCAATTCGTCGAAATATATATTTTTTTTTATGTATGTTACCGCATAACTTTGGACCACGAGAACCGACTTCGATAGTTCTTTTTTTATCGAAAGGGTGGTACCTCAAGGGTGATCTCGTACTAATTTCGCTTACATCCGATCGTAGGAGCGTGAAAAAATTAACGGTTCTCTTTAATTTGTATATGAGAATTGAAGTCGGTTTTGTTTTTTGCTCCTGCAGCCAATCGCAACACGAGCCAGACGATATATGAAGATGAAGAGAGGGAAAGCGGAAGGAATGAGTTTGAAATGCTAGTTCCCAAAGATACGAGGATAGAAATAGAGGTCCAGAGTACATTTAAATTATACAGGGGGTACATTTCGTCGCTCCCAACGAAGAGTAGCACATCTCAAATTACCGTGGAAGACTAGCACGTTTCACTATTCGCGTCGAAGACTAGCACATTTCATTATTCGCGTCGAAAAGTAGCACATTTCAGATTCTCGCGTGGAAGACTAGCACATTTCACTAATCGCGTGGAAGACTAGCACATTTCAGATTTTTGCGTGGAAGACTAGCACATTTCGTTATTTGCGTGGAAGACTAGCACATTTCAGATTTTTGCGTGGAAGACTAGCACATTTCGTTATTTGCGTGGAAGACTAGCACATTTCAGATTTTTGCGTGGAAGACTAGCACATTTCAGATTTTCGCTTGGAAGAGTAGCATATTTCAGATTGTTAAGCCGCGAAAACTGCACGTCTCCGGTTT